AATTGACTTGTCACAATTTTTAAAAAGATGTGGTGCAAATATATCATCCGAATAATGATAACTAGGATATAAATTTGATATCAAAATTTAAAATTTTTATAATATTAAAAGATATATTATTTAAAATATTAAAAGACAAATATTATACTATTTAATAATTTATTTTTTATTTCATTTAAATTTATAATATTATATATATCAACTTATTTAATAATATAATTTATACTAAATTCTTGGTTCTAAATTTTTATTTTTTGTATCAGTACTCGATTCTTACATTCTTTTCATTTATTTTGAGTCACTTGAGTTTGATTTTTGATTTTTTGAATATAACTTTTTGATAAAAATTCAATATATTATATAAATAACAATTAAATTTTTTTATCAAATAAAAATACTATATAAAAAGTACAAACAATAAAAGATTAAATAAAAATAAGCATATTAAATAATATTCTAAAAATAAATAAACAATACAATTTAAATTTTAAATGCTTCAAATTAAAAATATAGGATACTAAACTAAATTAAGAAAGTAAACTAAACTGACAAAGTAAAGCACTAGGGTGTGATCACATCAACACTAGTGCACTGAATCCCATTAAAACTCGGCAGTTGAAGGTGTTTGGAAGAGATTAGTATTATGATGGGTGACCTACTAAGAAGTTCTCCTATTGTACCCCTCATTCTCATTTATCAACTAATAATAGTTTAGCCAAAGTAGTATTTATTAAGTTAAAAACTTTAATATGGGGTCAAAATCAAGAGTTGAAATCTCTATAATGTCAACTAACTTTTAATATACTAAGAAAAACCAGAAAGTAAGAAAAGTGTAATTAAAAAACCTTAATCTAAGGTACATGTTAAAAAAATTCATAAAATATTAACTTTAACACTTAATAAATAATAAATGATTTTTTTATCAATCACTTAGTAAGTACACAAGTTAATAATGTATTAATTACATATTTTTAATTACTTACTATAAAAAAACATGAAATTTAAATTTATTTTTATTAATCACTTAATTAAACTCTTGCATGTATTATTAATATTGAAAGTAAAACTAATTTTTGTATTTTTTTATATAAATTAATAAAAAATGCAATTAGTACATTTTTAAAAAGATTGTTTAGACAAACCTTAGAACAAATTTAAAAGTCTTTTAATAAGTGCTTTAAAAGAATGAGGTACATTTATTGTATATTTTCTCTATTAATTTATATAAAAAATAAAAAATTTTATTTTATTTTAACAATAATATCATATAATAATTTTAGAATTTTCTAATAAATACTGTTAAGGAATAGAATGAGGTACATTTATTGTATATTTTCTCTATTAATTTATATAAAAAATAAAAAAATTTATTTTATTTTAACAATAATATCATATAATAATTTTAGTAGAGTGATTAATAAAATAATAATATATTTTTATTTTTTTATAATAATAACTAAAAAGTTATAATAAATACACTTTATAACTAATAAAACTCTAAATGTAAATTATTTTTGTGTTAATCTCTCGATATCCAATAATAACATTAAATCTTAATTAATTTGAAATTAAGTTACGTTAGATCCTATAAAAAAAGAAACTCTCATATTATTTATTTTTTTATTTATAAAACTAAAATTAAAAATTTTATTTAAAAAAATTCGATTTCATTTCATTTAAACCAATAAATTATTGATGTAAAACTCTAAATGGAAATGAAAACAAAGTACAAGTGGAATTGAGAGTAAAAGTAACCGGTTTAAAATTGGTTGCTGATTGAAACGTCAATCCGTATTACCACATGTCAATAACAGAGCAGCAAGTGCTCAAGAGAGTGCAGATGGGAGACTGCCCGTAGCATTGCTCATAGGGCTATGGTCATCCTTGCATCAGCTTGTCGGTATGACTATTGAAATGCACTTATTTTCCAAGGGCAAAAGCCTGCTTTTAGCAACTCATCTTATTAAATTGGAAGGTTTTAACTCCTCACTCTATATTATACACTTTTAATCTCTTACCTTATTAGATTTGTAGGTTTTAATTCATCATCTTATACTATAACATTTTTAACCTCTTACTTATTAAAATTGAAGAAAATAGTCCTCACTTTATAACATTTTATTAGTTCTATTAGTTGATTGTTAGTTGATTGTCAGTTAACAAAAACCTTTTTTTAACTAACAGGGTTAACAGAATTAATTTTATAATATTTTGTTAATTCTGTTAATTGACTATTAGCTGACTGTTAGTTGACAAAAATCTACTTTTAACTAATAAAGTTAACTATCAGTATAAAGTAAGGGCCATTTTCTTTGATTTTAATAGATGAGGGGTTAAAACCTACAAATTTAGTAAGGTAAGGGGTTAAAAGTGTCATATTATAAAGTAATGAGCTAAAACGTTTAAACTTGAGAAGGTGAAGGGCTCAAAGTAGGTTTTTGCCTTTTTGAAGATGGTGCCTAGGTAGCTGGGGTGTCTAAAGGGTTCAGTACGACGATGATTTTCACAAATTTAGTATGGCCGGGAGGGATGCAATTATAGTCATCCATAGCATCAATGTTAACCCCTACCACAAACACTTTTCTACAGTGGTTAATATTTCATACCATCAGTAAATTAGGGGGAATATGCAATATTCTCAAAGAATATTAAACATGGTCAACTCACGGCACCGTTAGATCTGCAACACTTAACCTTTGTCAAGATTATTCACCCCAAAGCAAGAGAAAAACCTAATGTCACCATCGTACCCACTTTTTCAAATTTACAAAATTATCATTTCACAAGTGTTGGTGAGATATTTGTTCATATCTATATTAACTTAAACAATGATTAGTATATGATTTTGATATTTTTGCATCTTTTACGCAATTTGTTAGGTACAAATATATTAGTAAATATATTTGTATACCCATTGTTGATACACGTTTTTATAAAAGGTCAAACTTGGATGGATTGTTTTCATGTCATCAAGACCTGCCTTGATTTAAGTGCCTATTAATGCTTTCAACATGCATCTACCAAAAAAACCTAACAATATCTAATACTGTAATACGTAGCTAGGCCCAACCATATCTAATTCTATAGTATATGGTTATATCGCCAGACAAACATAAAGAAGTCTCATTCTTTTATTATTTTCTTATTTATTAAATTTCATCATTTTCATCAACTAATCACTATCTTTATATGCAAGTCATTAATGAACCCATGAATCCAAGTTCATGGGAATTATTTGGGATAAACTATAAGAGTAGTGGCTTGGCAGGCATGGATGGATGAGTGTTACTTGTCCAGCGAAGTAAGGTATTCGTGCTAGCCAAGCTTAGCTCTGGTGATGTTGCTTGACTTCGCCAAGAAGGGCTGGGTGGCAAAGACGTGGAGGTAAAGCTTGAACCCAAAAGTGCATTGTTTGATATTAACTAAAAGACCTAGAATCTCATTAAAAACCAACCAGAGAACTTGTTTGCATTTCCATCAGCAGGTTGTAGTTATATTTAATGCAAAGTGGTTGTACAACTTCCATTGCATTGGTAACTATTGAAAAGGGTGGCTGCACAAGTTCCATTGCATTGGAAACTATTGAAACAGATTACATTTTGCTTGGAAAATCTACCAAAATATTTGACAAAATTTATTTTGTGAACTATACTCCAGTACCTCTCTTAAAAATGGCATTTCATATGGCTGGAGAATTGCCAGAAAAGGGGAGTCTCTAACCAATAGTTCTTCGCTGGAACCAATGGTTCTTTGTTGAAACCATTGGACAACTTATGATATCACTTTAAAAAGTTGTCAATAGTACCCGGAACCACTCAAAACTTAATAGTTGTCTTCACTTAACCCAGATTTACCTGTTGGATTGCAGGACAAACTCTAACCCATCAACCCAAAATTACCAAAATGCCACTACATATATAAATATTGATTTTTCCTTCATTTTTAAACATATTTCAAAATTTTCAAAAACCCAACTTCCTCTTCACGTACCAGACCTCCATTTTTCCTCTAAAAAACTCTTCATCTTCAACCTCTTGCCCCATACACTAAAACACCTAGAAATTGCTATTTTTGTCATATTTTATATACTCTCAGCATTGTAAAACACTTTCCAAACTTGCAAAACATCATAGTTAGGGAAACAACATGTTACATTTTTAGATTTTGGGTTATTTTCTTGAGCATCAAAGAGGATTAAGCTACAGAGTTAGCATCAAGAAACGAGATCAAGTCCTCCATTCATAAGCCCCCACAACGGTCAACCTTCCTTCTCCCATCACTACTTTCTAGTTCATTTCTTCTTGTACGCATAAATTTGGAGAGAAATCATTATACTTCGAACTCCAAGTTAAAAGTTATTTATTTTACAATTTCATATATTTTTTATAGATAGTAGAGAGCATATCTACTATTTATTTGTTCTATTCTACAATATATTGCATTTAGATATGCTCACTTTATTGTACAAGTTGATATTTACTTTTCCATCCAAGCTATTCTAGCTATAATCTCACTCGCCCATTTATTTCTTTTTTTAATGGTTACATGATTTTCATCTGGATGTATTACCTCCAAC